CTAATCAATCCTGCCCCTCCCCCCCGCCTATTTCTTGATGATCCATCAAAGAGGCAGGAGAACGACGTGCCTCATCTACGTCAGGAATTTTTAGGCTTTTACCCCTTGCTTAACTCTGCTCGAGTGATCATAAAACGCCTAAAGTCAGACTAGATGAGGCACGTCGTTCTCCTGCCTCTTTGATGGATCATCAAGAAATAGGCGGGGGGGAGGGGCAGGATTGATTAGCATGGACTCTGAGCCAGGAAAACACAAGCTGGATTGTAAAAAGACTCTTCCGAAACCAAATGAAAAGAAGGCAGTCCGGAAGCTTGAAAATCAAGTCTTATTTCCTGAAGTTCTTTTCCCAACCCTCTTTGGATGCCAAAGGATCTGCCATGCAGTGACAGAAAATGTTTTACCTGAGACCTCTGCTGAACTCTTACATTTGTTGTCTTTCCTCTCCAGTGACCAACCCTTGTGACAGGAAGAAGTGTGAATGGCTCTGCCTCCTAAGCCCAAGCGGTCCCGTGTGTACCTGCCCCAATGGCAGAAGGTTGGACAATGGCATATGCGTGCTTGTTCCTTCACCTAGTGTCTCACCTGTTGGTAGGTCCATCTTCTCTTCTGTGTTCCAAGCTCTCTGCATCTGTGGGTCCTTTAGGCTTGAACTTTGTTGCCCTTTAGCGAAGCTACCGGCACTGTCATGTCTACCCAAATCTTGGGCTTTCTTTAATATGGATGAGGAGAAAGTTCTTCAGATCTTGGTTCCCAGAACCCACAGCCACAGGCTGGAGGGCTGGGGCAGCTCAAGAAGCCCGCTTGGGCAGGAAGGGAGGGAAGGCCTGGCCTGCCCTGGCTGACAGCTCTGCTTCCCTAGGAAGTAACTGCCGGGATCCCCTCTCTGTGTCTTCCAGGTTCTGGCGCACCGGCCAGCTGCTCTTCCTAATAAAATAAAATACTAATAATAAAAAGTAAGGAGGACCTGCTTTTTCATGTCTTTGCATGCTTTATTCTTCAGTTCCAGCCACTGACACTTGCGATCTCGTTTGCCTCAATGGTGGCAGCTGTTTCCTCAATGCACACAAGCAGCCCAAGTGCCGTTGCCAGCCACGTTACATCGGGGACAAGTGCCAGTATGACCAGTGCTCCAGCTATTGCCAGAACGGAGGCACTTGTGCTGCATCTTTATCTGGTAAGTTGTTGTAAACATTTACAAGAAGAGTTGGATGCCCAGAGTTCATCAATACAGGGAGGAGAAAAGTGGAGAGTCCTGGCTTACAGTACCAGGAAAAAAAATTACAGCACTGCTCTGTTGAGTGGAAATGCGATTGGACACCAACATGTCCCTCACTTGGCTGCTTGTTTTCTACTTCTAACGTTTCTCTATATTTTAAACTACAGGTAATCCTCAACGTATGACCACAAGTGAGCCCCAAATTCCTGTTTGCTAAATGAAACATTCCTTAAGTTAGTTTTGCCGCCTTTCTTGCCACAGTTGTTAAGCGAATCACTGCAGTTGTGAAGTTATTAACCCGGCTGTTAAGTGAATCTGGCTTCCCCGTTGACTTTGCTTGTCAGAAAGTGGCAAGTGACACCGCAACCGTCATAAATACGAGTCGGTTACCAAGCGTCTGGATTTTGTCCACATGCCATTGGCGATGCTGCAATGGTTGTAAACGTGAAAAACGGTCCCAAGTCCCAATACCGTTATAACTTCGAACTGTTGTAAGTTGAGGACTACCTGTATTCCCCCCCCCCCCCCCCAAGGGCCTTGTAAGTTACACAGATTCTTTGTAAATGTCTCTAGTTGTTCTATGGAGTCAAATCTTCATTGATTTGCTACTTTTCCATTTGAAATGGATGGAGACTCCAAGCCAGGGGAAACAACAGACAACATGGGCATTCAGTGAAATGCTTGGTTCGCTCCAGGGATTCAGTATACAGCCGTGCAAAGCTCTTTGTTGTTTGTTGGGAAGTCCTCTGCCAAACGTGCTTCATCGACAATCTCTTCCTTCCCACCCACCCAGGGATGCCGACATGCCGTTGCCCCAATGGCTTCACTGGTTCTCAGTGTAACAAGCCGGTGTGCATGGATTACTGCCTTAACAACGGCAGTTGTACAGTCAACCAGGGCAACCAGCCAAACTGCCGCTGCCCAGACAGTTACGTTGGTGACAAGTGCCAGTTTCGTAAGTATTCCCAAGCGAGTCTTAAAAGATGTCCAGTGGGTTGGGAAAGGCAGAGTCTGCCCAACAGTCGTTGCCAAGAATACCCCAAATTCTAAGCAAAGGGAGGAAGTACAGAGAAATCAACTAGTGTACCAAGCAGTCTTTTCCCTGACTTCCAGGAAGTTGGAGCTGAAATCTCTGCCTTGCTTCCCTAGATCTTTCTTGGGGTTGGTAGCAACAGCGAAGGTGAAATTGGATGGAAAATATATACATTTCTCTTCAAGGATTGCTGTAATCTTTCCCTTCAATAAAGAATAACTTTGCTTAACCTATTACTAGTGGAAATAGGCACATTTGGAGTGTGCTTGCAATCTTGGGTCACGTTCACAGTCTCTAGGTCAGGGGTGTCAAACTGAAGGCCTGGGGGCCAGATCCGGCCTGCAGGGTGCTTAAATCTGGATCGCAGCACCGTCCTGGAAACAGTAAAGCACTCGGTGCCTCTGCCAGAGAAAACAGAACTCGGGGGGCCCTCCCAGGCTCCGTTTTTGCTAGCAGAGGATTGCAGGAGGTCGTCGTAGCCAAAAACAGACCTTGCAAGGATCTGCAAGGGGGCTCTCCTGTGCTCCGTTTTTGCTGGCAGAGGATTACAGGAAGCCGTCACAGCCAAAAATGGAGCTCAGGAGCCCATTTACACTGGCAGACTGCTAAGGCCTCCACAGGTGCCCCTGACGCAAGTGATGTTGAGCTGGCCACGCCCATCCCAGCCCCTCGAGGTCAAACACAATCCTGATGCCACCCTCAATTATACCACCCTCAATTATATTGAGTTTGGCACCCCTGTTCTAGGCACACCATAAAAATTTGCACAATGTGAGAACTGAACATGCCTGAGAACTTTAGACTGTTCCATTTCCTCTTTGGATCATGCCAGGGTTTCTAGAAGTAAATCCTCTGAATTGGGAGGGTCTTAAGTGGCATTCCAGATGAGACAGACCTGTTCCAGGATTGGATTACCTTTTGGGACACTTTACAGTTCAGGAGACTTCTTTCTGGAAACCATTGAACCAGTGGTGGGATACAAAAAAGTTTACTACTGGTTTTGTGGGCGTGGCATGGCTTGGTGGGCGTGGCAGGGGAAGGATACTATAAAATCCCCATTCCATCCCCTCCCCACTAACCTGCTTTCCAGCTCCATTCTCCTGTCCAGGGCAACAGAAGAAGTCCCAGTCGATCAGCTGGGACTCAGGAGGCAGTGAATAGATGGGGGCGGAGCCAGCCAGAGGTGGTATTTGGAGGTTCTCCGAACTACTCAAAATTTCCGCTACTGGTTCTCCAGAACCGGTCAGAACTGGCTGAATATCACCTCTGCATTGAACCATTCAGAGAATGTCATGTTATGAAAGAGATTTACCATGTGCTTTTTTGTGTTTCCGGGGAGGGGGCAGGGGAGTAGGAGAAGACTGGGACATGCCAAAGCTTTCTGCAGCATTCTTTTTGCAACTAAGTGAATTCCTTTGCACATCCTTAATGTGCTACCACTTTTTTTAAAAGTGGCATCATTTAATAATAACCAATCAGCGGTGTATAAGAGATCCCAAAAAGATTCCCGGGTGAGCCGGCAGTCCATTGTTTGTGAATCTCACGCTGAGGCAGAATCTCTGCTGTGAATCTGGAATGAATCCCTTCCCCTTACGCCAACGTCTCTCTTGCTCTTTCAGGCCTTTGTTCAAACTACTGTGAAAATAATGGCGTGTGCCATTTGACAGCCTCTGGGACTCAGCAGTGTCGCTGCACAACAAATTATTACGGTGACCGCTGCCAGCATGACAAGTGTGACCGCTGCCTCAAGGGCAAATGCTCCATCAACAAGCAGACCGGCAATGTCACCTGCATGTAAGTAGGTGGGATTTGTCGCGGGAAGTGCCGGTGGGTGTGGAACGAGGAGAGTCCAAGTGGTTTGGGGCTGTAGGGGGAACAGCTGAATCAAGGATAGGAAGGGAGAGAGGGGAAGTGGCTAGGACAGTGGGGCTATGTTGAAAGGCTGAGAGTCATGGTAAGAAATCTGGGCTCCATTGACCACACTTCCCTTTGATCTTTGCAGCTGCCCTGATGGCAAGATGGCCCCCAGCTGTTTGACTTGCAACAACTACTGCATGAACGGCGGGACATGCACTATGAATGCTGAAACCTCTATGCCAGAGTGCCAGTGAGTAGGGAGGAAACTTGGAACGAAGGAAGGGACATGCCCATGTGCTCAAAATAAAAGAAGAGATGATTACCCACCACTTCCCAGAATGATAAGGGTGTTGATCTCCCATGTCATCCTGTTTCCCAGTTCTTCTCTGTTTCTGTTCTGAGGACATTCTTAGAATATTGTCTTTTGCCCTATTGCCTTAGATCAGGGGTGTCAAACTCAAGGCCCGTGGGGCGGATCCAGCCCATGGGGTGCTTAGATCTGACGTGCAGGGCCACCTGGAAACAGCCCATTTTCGCTGGCACAGCTCTCCGGCCACCATGGGCACCCCTGACACGAGTGACATATAGCTGGCCACCCCCACCCTGCCTCCCGAGGTCAAATATAACGCTGATGCAGCACTCAATGAAATCGAGTTTGACACTCCTGCCTTAGATCACCTCGAGTAGTTGTTAATAGCAGTAACACTTAGACTTATATACCGCTTCACAGTGCTTTACAGCCCTCTCTAAGTAGTTTACAAAGACAGCCTATTGCCCCCAACAGTCTGGGTCCTCATTTACCAACTTTGGACTTTGGAACACTGGGTCAACCTTGAGCTGGTCAGGATCAAACTCCTGACAGTGAGCAGAGGCAGCCTGCAATGCTGCATTCTAGCCACTGCACCACCATAGCTCTACATAACTTATATAAGCTACGTAATTCATGTCATCCAGGCCTGATTTATTATTCTCCCAGTTAGTTTCACCCCAATGTTGCTCTTGCCAGCCTCTTCCCTGCTCAAAGAAGCTGTCCTATTGGGTTTATCTCGCATCCACCCTACTTACCTTTTTTGCTTCTCGCTCTACAGGTGTATTTTGGAGATGACTGGGGAGCGTTGTGAGGAATCTATGAACAGTGGGCAACAAAGCAGCCGTAAGTGGAGTGGAGAGATGACTGCGGAGGGGCTGATGTGTGTCTGTGTGCGTTGGAAAGGAATATCGGGAGATTGGAGGTCATCTGTTGGTAGAAAATTTTTTTTGATGAGGTTCCAAATCAAGCATGTGACTCATGTTGTTTCAGTGTCTTAAGAGCCTGCCTCCCACTATAGTTACATGTGCAACAATCCACTAAGATTATCTTTCCAGCTCTAATGAGATGTTGGGAGTATTGTCAACTGGTTTTGGGGACATTAGCAAAGAATGGTTCCCCTGCAAAAGTTGACATTGAATTGATTAGGAAGGTAACCATAGTCAACGGAGAACAGATAATATTTTCACTAATAGAGGAGAATATTTGTAGCTCAGGGTTGAAACGAGGGGTCCTTGGTGCTCTCTGAGCTTGCTTGTTTTCTTGCAGGCATTTTATTACCCTAATAGGTAGCATCATCAGTGCTAGCACTCCTGATGTTATCTAGTTAGGGTAATGAAATGTCTGGGAGAAAACAAGGAAGCTCAGAGAGCACCAAAGACCTCCCTCAAAATTTTCACATTCTGGAGCTGTTGTGAGTTCTGTGGAGGACAGAAGAAGTTCATTACGGACGGTTGTGAAAATTAAAAGGTGTAGACTCCACGGTTATTGCAACAAAGAGTCTGGCAGGCAGGCAGAGCAATACTGTGACCCCAGCCACTGCCAAATTAAAACACCATCTCTTCATTATAAGGGAGAAGGAATTCTATCTATTTACTCCAAGGTGGTTGACTTGTTTCTCCCCTTCCCCAACTTTTGCCGCATAACAACACCGTGGAAGTAAGTCATATTGAAGGCGCGTGGCTCAAATTCATGCTTAGGAGACCCTTTGCTTCTGAAGGAACAACGGGGGTCTCCACAGTACTACCCACTACCCACACTGTCTCCCATTTGGAAATGGAGAGGAATATACTCTCTCAGATTATCTATTGCTGTCATCATTTGGCAGGGGGGAAAAACGATATCAAGAGACATCTATAAAGAGAAGGTAACATGGCTCACAAGTCCAGAGCAGGGGTGAATGTTTTCTATGTTTCAGAGATAACTAATGTTTTCCTTTTTTTTTTTTCTAGGAACCGTCTCTATTGTCATTCCAATTCTGCTGCTGCTCCTCCTAATGTTAGTGGCTGGTGCTGTGGTTTGGTACAAAAAACGGATTAAAGGGTAAGCTTGGGCATTCCAAAACAACGAACGCATATGGTCTAAGACAGTGTTTCTCAACCTTGGCAACTTGAAGATGTCTGGACTTCAACTCCCAGAATTCCCCAGCCAGCGAATGCTGGGTGGGGGATTCTGGGGGGTGGAGTCCCAGCATCTTCAAGTTGGCAAGGTTGGGAAAAACCGGTATAAGATGTGTGGACCTCAACTCCCAGAGTTCCCCAGCCAGCGAATGCTGGCTGGGGGATTCTGGGGGGTGGAGGCCGGGCATCTTCAAGTC